GGGGGGTTATTTTGTTTTGTTTTAGTTTTCATTCCATTTCTACATGAAGTTCATTTCCATGTGAAACTGGACAGTTCTATTATATTGTCTGTTTCGTTTTAAGCCTTGTTATTTTACTATAATTTTTTCCCAATAAAAGGAAGCATAATCAATTGTAATCGTAAGATTCCAGTTTGATCTCATTGTAGACAGCGTGTGCTACTCTTGGCATATTTCACACACTGCACTGAATAGTGGAGTCTTTTACTTTTAGTAGCGGTTTCACGGTGCTCGCAACAGCATAATATTAAGGTCTTATGAGCGCCAGAAGATTAGAGGTGTTACAACAAGAGAGTAACAAGCATATCAAAGAAGAAGGGGAGATAAGGACGATAGATGTTTCATAGGAAGAAGAAGCAAACCCCACCAGAGCACCCACCAACCACCCACATAGTGGAGTCTGCTTAAAAATGAACCACCAAATACGGTTAATCTGAAAAACAGCCGTAAACTGTAAGAAAATAGAATCCTGCGGTTTTTTTTTATATACTTATCTTCTCTACTTGAGCAGTCCCTCTGAACTGAAGAAAATCCGGCGATCCATTAGATTTCAAAGCGGACTCCACTGCATAAATATATATATATAAATGCACCTTGCCGTCTAGATTCAGTTGTAGCCTCCTGGTTGGGTTTTTTTGTTGTTGTTGTTCTTGTAATGCCAGTTTACCAAGTACAGCGACAACCATGAGGAGACCGTTGGACATCTCCTTCTCTGCCCAAACCTAGCAGTTCTACGACGCAGGCTCCTACACACACCTACAGACTTACAAAGCCCGACTCTGGCGTTGACCAGATGACAAGGACATGTGGTTACTTGAGGGAGGCATCGCGCTTCCAAGAGCGAAAAGCTCGCAGCTAAAGGGATTTGAAAACAACAATATCCAAGTGCATGTAGCTCTTTCAACACAGAACTGTGGCTGATTATTGGAGGAGACACGACCTAAACACACTACACGCACACACATACACACACACACCTCAAAGTAGATTGTGCCAAGTGGGTGAGAAAGCTTGGTAAACCATTCCTACAATGGGTTCGAACCAGTGTGATATGCACCATAAATAAGCAAGAGTGACAGAGAATGAGCCAACTTTATCAGTCAGTCTGGGTTGCGGAGAAAAAGAAGCCTGAGCCTGATGACAGAGTTTTTTAACTCCATGAGACATAATTTTGACAAAATGAGTTTTAAAGATCCACACCCTTACATTAAGTTACAGCTAAGATGTTTTTACAAATTATTAATGAGATTCAAAGATTCACACTTACAGCTAAAGTATTTTTACACTTTATTTGTAAATCGTTAAATAAAAACAAACAAACCCAACACATGTCAAATTGTCTCGATCTTCTGACCCAGTGTGCAGGGCATGTGTGTCAGTCATAAGTAACGTGTAACTCGGTTCTCGCAAAAAGGAATTAGAACCCTATTGTCATTTTAAGGCGGTAAGCTGTGCACAAAAGTCTCCCACAAGTCAGAAATCTGGAGTTAAATTATACACGATAGCACTCACCTCCTGTGATATATGTACACATACACAAGCGCGCGAACAAACACGTATGCATGCACACACATATACTCATGCACGCACACACACACACACGGGTAACATTTGTATCAATTCCCACGTCCCCTCCACACAGAGTCAGACAAAAGGCCCAATACGTGTTGATATGAGGCAATACAGTGTGTTTATTGTTACTGCACTTGTCAATATAATATAAAATGTGATGATATAGAAATATTACCTTTTTTTTAAAAATCAAAATTTTTAAAAACATTTGAAAAAAAATCAAGAAACAAACAAAACAAAAACAACCCAATTGAATTGACATGACAACAGTGATAACGGCATACGTCGTCATACTAGGACTCATCATGCATTATACGGTTAGATGCTCTGGTCTGTGATGTGTGTGTGTGAGAGAGAGAGAGAGAGAGAAAGAGAGAGAGACAGATACAGAGAGAGAGAGAGATACAGAGAAAGAGAGAGAGAGAGAAAGGGGAGCTGGTGAGAGAGAAAGAGACAGAGAGACATACAGAGG